ATATCCTTTCTCAATCAATCAATAAAAAATGTTGGGCTGGTGAGATGGCTCAGTGGTCTAAAGCACCTACTTAGAACAAGCTTAGCAAAGCACAGGGACCGTGGTTCAATCCCCCAGCACCATATGCCAGCCAGCCCCGCCCCCTGGTGGGCTGAGCTGGCCACACACACACACACACACACACAAATAAAAATTAAAAAAAAATTTTTTTAAATGTTAATGGCTCTCACTAAGGATAAAATAAAATACAAACTCATTAAAATGACAGATGTACCCCTCAGTCATTCTCTGGGCTCAGCTGGAGCCACTCCCTTCAACCTAAGCAATGGTGAAGACAAAGAAGTGACTCATGCTTTCCAAGGTCTCTCTTCTAGCATCTGCTTCTCAACAGGCTACTTTCTTATCTTGCTCACCTGGATAATACTGATCATCTTTAGGCCTCAGTTTAACACTCTTTCTAAAAGAAAAAAAATGGTACTTAAAGGAGACTGGGGCCAAGGATAAAGCTCAGTGGCACAAGGCTGGTCTGGCAAGCACAAGGTCCTGAGTTCAATTCCTGGAACACCACCACCCTAACCCACCTCTGTGTGCAGAAAGAGAGATTGTTAGGTGATATGATAAAATCACCCTCCCCTGGAACTCTCACACATGTTTAAAAGCTAAGCACAGGAGAGGGTATGGAGCCATGTAAATAATTTCTCAATGATGGAGGATAAGTACAAGTTCTTTAGGAGAGAGACCTGAACCTCTTCTTTGTTCTCTCCCTATCTTGCTCATGAATCAAGAGGCTGCCATCTCAGACACGGCGCAACACTGAGGCCACAGAGGGTAACGTGGCGGCATGGATACTATTAACTTCACACTATACGCACCAGCCCCAATTTATTTCTGTAACAGGGAAATAAACGTATTTCATTTAAGTATTAATTTGGATTTTCTGTTTCCAATAATCTCAACTCATAACATTTAGAACTTCTCTGTGTCCCACTGCTTCCCTCAGCCTTTCCTCACCAATGCTAAGTGCTGTCACTGGTTTTGTTTCTCTAGCCTGTGAGCTCACAGGAGGGTACTGTATCTCACCCCTGCAGTACAGCATAATGACCTATCAGTATTTGATTTAAAGTATTGTTTCATATTTTATTTGTGACCAAAACACTACATCACCTTTATCTTGCTTTGAGTCCAAATGTAAAACAGATTTCTATTACAAACATAATACAATATTTCTTGACTTCTGCCCCAAATCTCCAGTTGAACTCCCCTTCTGAACACCACTAGTTATAAAATGTATTTGTACAATAGTGTTCTCAGCATCTATCTCTCCATGTGAGCAACTCCAAAAGATTAGGAACAAATTCATGACTGATTTAATAATGCATGTGTTGAACATCTATTGTGCTAGGCATGGGACCTGGAGCTAAAAATATTAATTAGTCATTCCCAGCTCTCACACTGTTCAATCTGCTGTTTCTCTTTGAGGATCCACGTCTAATGCAGCCATCACTCTCTGCTTTAAGAAAAACTGCTGCAAGCAGAGCTCTTCGTGAGATCGGATTCCAGTTTGTGGCATCCCTGCACATCGGCCTTTCTGTGCACTCATTTCACTTCCTCGGTCTGCCATCGGCTCTGGCCCTCCCAGCCTGACAGCAAATTAAACTTTTCCTGGGTTGACCCTCCCAAGTTACCTCCTAGTCTACTTCCTATCTCACTTGTTCATTCCTGGAAACTTTTTCTACTGCCTTCTTGATAACTGGCCTGTGCACTGGTCCTGCTCATTCTTCTGAAATCTGTCTCAGGAGGGAAAGGCGGTGTCCTTGGCTCTGTACTAGTCTTTTCTCCTGATAGACACATTACCCTTTAAAGGGAGTGATGCAAAATGGAAAAAAAAAAAAAAAAAAAAAAAAAACTGGCTTACAAAGCAGAAAGACAAGGGCCAGGGAGATAGCTCAGTAGAATAAGCACTTGCCTGGCAAGTGCAAGGGCCTGAGTTCTATCCCTGGTTCCACAAAAAAATTTAAAAAAAAAGTAAAAAGACACAGATAAATATGGTCTTAGGAAAACTATTTAACATCTTGAGCCTCCATTTTCTCAAATATAAAATGGGGGTTTCAAATCAGGTGTGGTGAGACATGTCTGTAATTCCAGCACACAGGATTCCAGTGAGTTCCACCAGCCTGACTTGTATAACAAGACCCTGTCTCAAAAATAATTAAAAACTTATAACTAAAAAAAAAAAAAAAACTTAAAACTTTAAAAAAATTAAATGGGGGGGTCTACTTACCAATGAAAATTACTCTAAAGATTAGAGAAAATTCACGTACAGAGCCCAAGGCAATGAATGTTTTGTTATGACCATATTTAGACACAAGAAATGTGTTATACCTACAATAAGTGATAACAAGCTATTATAGAAAATCTATAGAGGTCTAAAACATTTTTTGAACATTTATTGCTACCTAAGTTGCATCAGGTACTAAAACTGGAATTACAAACAAGAAAAGGACTTATATTCAGTTAAAGAAGGTAAGTAAAAAACTACAACACAATAAGGTAAGAACACAAAATGTTTTACATACAAATTTACATATCCAAAGTCACACTGAAATAAGCAAGAGAGGTCTGAGTGACAACAGCAAGTATAAACAACTCCTTTATATAATTTAAAAGTATGCCTAGGCTCTGACAAATTTATACAGATTACTTTCCTCTATTCAAATAATTAGGTCCACAAACAGGCCTTCACATAAAATTTTATATTCCAGAGCAAGGGAAATAGCTCAGGGTCACAGAGTCTGCCTGGCAAGTGCAAGGTTCTGAGTCCAATTCCTGGTACTAAATATAAAAAAAACTTATATGCCATCCTGCCCCCCTACTGAAGATCCTCTCCCAAATCTTTGAGTTATAAAAAGATTCACACATAAAATAGTGTCAAAAACAATAAAGTAGTCTTATATTCTTGTGTTTTTGTTTCTGGGGATTGAACCAAGGACTTTGCACAGCTAAGCACCCACTCTATTACTGAGCTACATCTCCAATCCCAATGTATATTTTTAATTTTATTTATTTATTTATTTATTTATTTATTTATTTATTTGAGAGAGAGAGAGAGAGAGAGAGAGAGAGAGA